CATGGACGCCACCATGGAACCCAATTCCGTCACTTCCATATGATTTGGTATTGAGCTGCCTCGCACGCGTCACAAGGCTGTACTATCCGGCTCTCTCCCTGGTCTCCAAGAGACTTGGGTCTCTCCTTGCTTCACCGGATCTTTACAAGGCCCGATCACTCTTGGGTTGCACCGAGAGTTGTCTCTATGTGGGCTTTCGGCGCTTTGGTAAATGTTTGTGGTACACCCTCTGCCTCAAACCTAATCGAACCCTAACCAATGACACCAGTCAGAACAAGCCAAGTGGGTATGCTTTGGCCGAAGTCCCGATTCGTTCTCCTCCCGCCAACTGTTGGGGTCTTGTGGCGGTTGGTTCTAGTATCTACAACATTGGATCGGATATCCACGGAGACGCCTCCTCTAGGGTCTCTATTCTGGATTGCAAGTCTCACACGTGGCACGAGGGTCCAAGCTTGCCTGTAGGGCTATTGAAAAACTCTGCTAGTGTCCTTGACAAAAAGATTTATGTAGCTGGATACTACAAAGTTGGCCATTGTTCCTTGAAGAACTCGTTCCAAGTGTTTGACACAAAAACACAAATTTGGGATCCTAAGCCCATCCCTTACACCGGGGGAGAGACATTATCAACCACAAGCGCATGTAGTGACGGAAAGTTTCTCGTGAGAGTTGTCGGCGATGTGTTTGCTTACGATCCCAAGGAAGGTGGTAGATGGGACATGCTTGAAGATTGCGATATGTGGCCCCATACGGTACCAGATTCTTCTTCTTGCGTTATAGAGAATGTTTTGTATCATGCTTTTCAGAAGAGAGACAAAGTTCACGGAGGCTTCAGATGGTATGACGCTAAGAGAAACAAATGGAGAGATTTGAAGGGTTTAGTAGGACTGCCTGAGTTCCCTTATAATGCTTCTGTTACATTTGGTGATTATGGTGGAAAGATGGCTGTTTTTTGGGACCAGCGTATGGGACGGGAGCCGTATTGTTTCGTTAATACGAGCAAGGTTTGGTGTGCGGTGATTGCACTTGAAAGGCGTAATAGTCGTGAAATTTGGGGGGAAGTTGAGTGGTTTGATCATGTGCTTACACTCCCTACAGGATATCATTTCCTCAAGGTTGTTGCTGCTACTGTTTGATGAATGAATGTGTCACAAGGCTTGAACGTTTGTGTTCTTTTGGTATCACACCTTTATTTAAAATTTGTTTCACCTGGTATATTTGTTTGATGTCTCACTTATTTATTATATTATTAAGCTATTCTGTGACCAAAATGTCTTTGAAACACGTTTTGTGTTGAATTATGACTTCTCATTTTCTACATTCATGAAAACAACCACTTTGAATAGAATTGGGCTAGAACGTAGGATTCGCAAAGCTGGTACACAAGATATCGTATCTCTGAGTTCACACCTATGGGTTCCAAGACAACGATTGAGATTATATAATATGCTCTTTACTCCACTTTCTGTGCAATATTTTCGAGCCTTTGTTTAACAAGATAATCATAGGTAAAAAGACAACGGAGTTTGATGTCCACATTTGATTGAGATGATCTCTTTTTATATTACAACACATTCAGTTCAACAAAACAATGTAAGAGAATCTTCAATTAGTTTAGCTAAAATATGAAAGTGCTAAAGCCCAGAGACGGCATTTAGCTCACATTTTCAAAAATCTGTAATATTTTCTGATATTCCAACTTCACATATTTTCAAAGCACTTCAACAACTTTTAACAGACAGGTTTGGTTCTTTCTATGTTCATGATCTTGGTTTTTATGAGTAGAGTTCATATTTAAGCAAAAATTCTTACAAGAAGGTAATGGAAAACTTTCACATGATTCAATTGGTTTTGAGAAAAAAACGGCACGTAGTTAATGCGTAGCGTTGGATAGTGTTCAGTAACGGTTCCTGTTTAGGGGTGTGGTAAGCAGTGCGTGCTGTTTTACTTTTTCAAAGAGTCAAATGTACATTAAAAGTCAGCGTTTGTTTTTAAAAACATTTCGAAAACATTTGTTTTTTTTTTTTGGTCTAATCGAAAATATCTGTAATCTTTTACATTAAAAGTTTGAATTTGCAAATTCCCCCAGAAAATCGCAAAAACCCTAACGATTGAAATCCCCAAAACCTTTTGTTTTTTTTTTTGGGTAAAAGAATCACCAAAACCTAAAATCTTCGAGAATGTCCAGAAACAATGGCCAAGAAGAAACCGACGCGTAAGAGTAACGTCGCCCCTGCTGATAACTAGAACATCAGATTGAGTCGCTTGTTCAGGCTAAGGGTGAATTGGAGACCGAGTTGGCTCGCTATGGGTCGGATGAAACTGGGCTACGTGACGAGTTGGAACAGGTTAGTGACGAGAATTTCGGGTTGAAGAAGGAATTGGGTCTGGTTATGGATCTTGTTAGCGATCGATTTAGGGAGGTGGGTGTTGGGGTTGATAGGTTGGTGATGGAGAAAGATGACGATTTATCGTCGGAGAGCAGTAAAAAAGAAGAAGACAAGGTATGATTTCGTCTTTGAAATTCCGTTAGATGCAAATGGGGTTTCGTGTTCGATTGTGGTGATTTCTTTCATTACGTACTCTTTTAATCGATTAATTGGGCTCTGAATCTGTTTGATTGTAAAGTTTCTTTTTCTGTAATGAAATGTTTTATGAAATGCCAACATGATCGCTCGTTGTGGTGATATTGGTATATGCAGGACAAAGAAGCTGCTCAAAAAGCTGAAATCAGCAAACGCGAGAAAGCCGGGAAGCCCAAGTTGAAGAAGCAGAAGATTCAGGACTCACAGAATGCTGAGGATATGGTGGGTTGTAATTAATTCAGGTTTTAAGCTGCTTTTACTTATTGTATTCCTAGGTAATTGACCAATTTAATTCAATCTATGAATCTAGAACAACAACAGAAAAGAGAGACTACTGCAGCAAATATTTGCACATTTTGCTAAAGTTTATCCATCTTCTTCTCAAAAGAAGACCCAAAGAAGGTGGGTTGTATGCAATTGATTCCTAAAATATCCATTTATTCATTACTTTTGGTCTCAATTTTTGCAAATAAATTTTACCTCCAGGGGTCGTCGTCACGCTTCTGAATTGACAGAAGATCACGAAGACAAAAAGTTTTTAAAAGAAGCAAAGGCTGGTTTAACTAGATCTGGGAACACACGGTTGTTCACAAAGCCCTCCTGTAAGTACCTGTATTTTCCTCGTTAGACTAGGACTGATGCATATTGATCGTCTGTCTGGGAGCAAAAGTACAATATGATTGACACCTCCCTTCATTTCCAATACATATAACTTATTCTTGTGACCTCTCAGTTACTAGATATTATCTGGGAGAGCTTAGGATTCATCTTTTTGCCTTCTCAATTTACAGGTATTGTAGGGAAGTTAAGAGATCACCACTTAGCTGGTTTAAACTGGCTCATTCGGCTGAATGAGCACGGCGTTAATGGAATTCTTGCTGATGAAATGGTAAAAAATGGCTCCCCCAAGGGTTAAAGAAAAATAAAATCTCTACTTCCTTTGAAGCTACTCATTAAACCATTTTTTCCCCTGTCGCCTAGGGTCTGGGGAAGACGCTTCAAACTATTTATTTGTTGGCATACCTTCATGAATACAAGGGAATCAGTGGTCCCCATCTGGTAGTTGCCCCAGAATCAACCCTTGATTTTTGGGTGCACAAAATTGGCCTGTTTTGTCCTGAATTATGCGCTGTGAAGTTTCTTCGTTCTAAGAAACGGGTAAGTCATCAGCTGGATGCCATCTCAGAGTTCATGTAAATGATTGCACAAGATTCTAATGTGTTTACTAAATAATGCAGAAACATATACGTGATGACCCGCTTGTTGCTGGGAATTTTGATATCTGCGTCACAAGCTCTAAGACAGCCATCCAAGAGAAGACATCACTGGGACGATTTAGCTGGCATTATATTATCATTGATGAAGATGAAAAGGATCAACTCAAAAACAAAAATCATCTCCTTTTTAAAACAATGAGACTTTTAAGCACCAAGTATCGGCTTCTTATTATGGGAATCCCCCTTCAGGTGTTTGCTCTATCTTATTCTTGAATATTTGAACACTGAAGTTATCTTGTTAAGTTGCTTCTACTTTTATGTTGAAGTAACCTTCTCCTGCACGAATCTGTTTGTACTCTTAATTTTACTTCTTAATTCCTTGTATTTCATGTTTTGTTCATATATGCAGAACCTTAGCCATGAAAAACTGTGGGATCTCCTCAATTTTCTTCTGCCTGAATTTCTAGTTCAGCAGAGACTTATTATGATGAATGGGTTAAAATTTCTGGTAAGGATGACCGGAAGAAATTTGTTCAACAACTTCACAAGGTTCTTCGACCTTCTCTTCTTCAGAGACTAACGTCAGATGTTGAGAAAGATTTGCCACCAAAGAAGGAGACGATACTTAAAGTTGGCATGTCACAGATGCAAACAAAATGCTACAAGGATTTGCTGGAGAAGTATCTWAWAACGGTTGATAATGCTGCTGGTGGAAAACGCAAACATCTGCTAAACCTTGCAATGCAACTACYAAAATGCTGTAATCACCCTTATCTCTTCAACGGTGCAGAGCCTGGTCCRCCGTATACCACAGGAYATCACCTTATAACAAGTGCTGGTAAAGACTAGCATTCAAACTAAATCCTTCAGATTATAACARCACCTTATAACATGTTTTTTTGAAGCATCTATATATTGTTATTTTTAGGTAAGATGGTTCTCTTGGATAAATTGCTTCCTAAGTTGAAGGAACGTYATTCAAGGGTTCTGATTTTTTCTCAGGTAAACATTGATGCAGAACATCAGTTCATCATCTCTGTTTCCATTCTCTAGTTTGTAATCTGAGCATTGTTCTTTTCTTTGCTCATATTATGTCTGTATGTCAGATGACAAGACTTTTGGATATTCTTGAGGATTACTTAATGGACCGTGGTTATCGATATTGCCGTATTGATGGAAATACTGGTGGTGATGAAAGAGATGCTTCCATAGAAGCCTACAACAAGCCGGGAAGTGAGAAATTTGTTTTCTTGTTATCTACTAGAGCCGGAGAACTTGATATCAATCTTGCTACTGCAGATGTTGTGATCCTTTATGAAAGTGACTGGTAAGTCTCTTATTATGTCCACTGTAGAGTATGARTAGTCTCTTCAATTTTGACGAGCCTGGCGGATTTTGGCAGGAACCCACAACTCGACTTGCAMGCTCAGGATTTTGCCCATAGGATTGGTCAAAAGAAAGAAGTTCAAGTGTTTCGTTTCTGCACTGAGGTTGATAATCTCCCCTGTGTATGTCAAGTAAGAATAACCTAGGTGAGTTTAAATTAATAATGTATTGGTTGTTTACAGTCTTCTATCGAGGAGAAAGTGATTGAGAGAGCTTACAAGAAGTTAGCAATTGATGCTCTGGTGATTCAACAAGGGCGATTGGCAGAGCATAAAAGTAAGTTCGTTATGGTTAGATTGTGAAATGCATTGGTTCATCTGAACAGAATTAATAGTTATCTTTACTATGCAGCTGTCAACATGGATGAGTTGCTTCAAATGGTAAAATATGGTGCTGAGATGGTGAGCCCAATCAAAGACGAGCATATTGATGTAATCATTGCGAAAGGAGAGGAGTCAACAGCTGAACTTGAGGCCAAGATGAAGAAATTATCAGAAGGTGCAGTTCAGTTGACATTGTCTTTTTCCCTTATTACGTTGAGTAAATATTGTAATGTTTGGATAATCTATTGTTTGATTTGTTGCAGGTGCTGACCTCGATTATGTTGATGATGACAAGGTAACTCTTTTATATATCTTTGCATAGTTTAAGCTTTCATGTCATACCCTAGTATATGCTCTGTATTACTGAAAAATATGTTGATACTTTTAATTATAATTTTATAGGAAGCCAATGACATTTACCTTTCATGGGCTAATGAACTTGTAAGAATTGATGGACCAAGAGATCATGAGGTTGATGTTGAGAAACTTGATGATGCTAAAAAAGCGGGAGGGAAAAGCTCCCATAAGTGCACCCTAATAATTATTGAAGGAGATTCTGCTAAAGCTTTTGCGGTTAGTGGTTTTATTCTAAATTTTTGTTCTAAATTTTTATTCTAAATTTTTATTTATAAGTCTGCTAATCATAAATAATTAACAGAGGGTGGGGATCTCTGCGATGACTCCTGAAGCTCGGGACTATTATGGAATTTATCCTATCAGAGGAAAACTAATCAATGTAAGAGGTCTATCTCTTCAGAAAATCAGTACTAATGTTGAGTTGAAAAACATTAAGACAATTCTCGGCCTGGGAGATCCCGATACACTAGAAGCAAAAAGCTCAGACCGCCCACTACGCTACGGCCGAGTCATGATCATGACTGACCAGGTAAATTATGGTCATATCTTAACATTCATACCAAAAAAAAAAAATTATGGTCATATATCCATAATTTGTAGTGCGGCACTAATATATCCCATTTTTTTTCCAGGATGATGATGGGTTTCACATCAAGGGTCTGTTGATCAATATATTTCATTGTTTATACCCGAGTTTACTCCAGCGGAAGACACCCTTCTTAGTTGTGTTTATAACACCCATTATTAAGGTCAGTAACTCAGTATAATAAGTTGGTCTGAATAATTTTTATTGACATTGGAAGTAACTTAACATTCTGAATCTATTAGGCTACAAACAAAGAGACCAAGCAAACCCTGGAGTTTTATTTGTTGGATGAATACAAAACTTGGAATAAAGATCTAGGCGCCAATGCAACAGATTGGGACGTTAACCATTACAAGGTATTATTCTTATTAATATCATGGAAATTGAAGGTTAGGTTCAGAAGAGATACTTGAAGGTGGAACATGGCTGAGTATCTACAGAAAGTTTAACAACTTAGGCTGTTAGGTCTGGACAGTTCAGTCCAGCAAAAGGTAGAATCCATGGTACTGAGACCGGAAACTTGGCACACTCGGCTTGGGGACATGCTGGAACTCATGGGAGAAGGAAAGGGAATCAAGGTGGACAAGACATACTGGGTTCAAAGAAGCTGACTGGGAAGACAGATTCTCAGGTGGAGAAACGTTGATGCCATGTGTTTGGCCGAGGAGATAAGCTGAGAACAAATAGAGCTTTTGTTAGGAAATGGTCTTTTTACTTTGTGATTAGTATTAGGTAATGGATTTTTTACTTTGTTAGGAAATGGATAAGAGGAAGAGAATTAAGAAACGGGTTTCTGACTTTTGTTAGTTGCCTTTGGCTTAGGGAGACTCTCAAGCAAACTCGAAATTGTTTTGTTCTTAGTTCAATTGAAGCTTATCGTCTAATTTTTTTTTGTACAGGGACTTGGTTCGTTCGAAAATGAAGAGGGAAAACTGTACTTCAAAGATTTTCAAAGTCATGTAAAAAGCTTGGTCTCCTTGGATACAAAAAAAGATGAAATTGCGATGAAGCTTGCATTTTCTAAATCGCAAGCGCAGATAGATGCCCGAAAAGCTTGGATTGCGAAGTTTATAGCTAAAAGAAAAAAGATACTTCAAAAAGCCAGGAAACGTGACTTGAAGAAAGAATTTACAATTGCTGAATTCGTACACCGAGAGCTGTGTTTTTACTTCCAGGCAGATCTTCGACGATCAATTCCCTCAATACTCGATGGGCTCAAGTTGCCTCAGAGAAAAGTTCTTTTTGCTGCGTTCAAGAAAAACATGATCACGGGCACCAAGGTCAAGGTGTCTGTCCTAGCTAGTGAGGTGTGTGAGCATGCTGCCTATTACCATGGTATGGATAGTGTTGTGAGTACCATAATTCATATGGCACAAGATTTCGTTGGGAGTAACAACATTAATCTCCTCCAGCCCATTGGTCATCTCGGTACTCGTAACATGGTGAGTTTGTTGCTTAGATTTATTATTGTTGTTATCTAGGCCTTTACTAATCATTTACATGACTGTTGAAAATTAGGGAGGAAAAGATGCGGCTCATGCAAGATACGTCAAGGTTAGGCTCTCTCCAATCACAAGACTCTTGTTTCGCGAGGAAGATGATAATTTACTTGAATATGAGAACGAAGACGGGAACAACCCTGAGCCATCTTGGTAACATTCTTTTCCCATTGTACATTTTTTTTGTATTTCTGGTTTTGAGACAATAGTTAATTTTATATATTAACATACTAGGTTTTTGCCTATTATACCTATGATACTGGTCAACGGGTGTCGTGGAATAGCAACCGGATGGAGTTCTTATGTTCCAAACTACAATCCTGTTGATGTTATAAAGAACATAATGTATTTGTTGCTTGGTAAAGATATGAAGCTCATGAAACCTTGGTATAGACGTTTTAAAGGAAGTATCAAGAAAGTTCAACAGTCTGTTACCTCGTATAGAACATCTGGTGCATATACTATGGTTGATGACACCACCATAAGATTTACAGAACTTCCAATTGGAGTATGGACAGAAGACTTCACAAAGAGGCTGAAAGCTAGTGGTATCAAGGTAAACTTTCACATAAATCCATTTTTTATTCTTTCTTCATAAATTCATTTATGTTTTCTCTAATTTCTTTTTGTTTTTGCAGGATATCCAAGATATTAGTGATGAGTTTGGAGTTGATTTGATAGTCAAAATGCCTAAGATAGGCTCAGAAAGGAAGAAAGTGCCTGGTTTTAAGATGAATCACTTTAAACTCAGATCGTGCTTATCCATTACGAACATGAATCTATTCAGTTCTAAGCTTGTGTTGAAGAAGTATAAAGATCCACTTGAAAGTAAGAATCGTTTCATTGTTTTCTCCTTTATATTCGTTATATATTGTATGAGTTTACAAGATAAGGAAGCAAGTGTTATTATTCTTGTAGTTATGGAGAAGTTTTACGAGTTAAGGCTGCCGTTTTATCAGCAGAGATTGGTAAGTATTTCTTGAGCAAATTGTGCATGTAAACTTTTATCTCTAACATGGACTATAACAATTAACATTGAGGTATGCATATAGGACTGTATCATGGATGATGTGGTATGTCGACGGCGTGAAATAATCAAAGAAATGAGAGTTCTTCATACACTTGGAGCAGGAGGTGATGATGTGGATAACAGGAACAAGAAGAAAAGGCGCCGGGGTGAAAAGAAAAAAAAGAAATGGTACTATAACACCTCAAACCACCAACCTGATGAAAAATCGGTTAGTATTTCTTGAGCTGTGTAGGTAAATTTTAATTTTGAACATTGACTATAACCTTGACGTCTATATATAGGACCGTATGAAAGAACTCAAATCAGAAGATGATAGGTTGCGGAGAATTCAACAATGGGTGGAATGCACCACTCCAGAATCTGTCTGGTATTCTGAGTTAACACCTCTTCTAAAAAAAGTAAAGGTATGTTCAATCCTCATGATATGTTTTTAATTTGTGTCTTTGATGATTTTCCTTAATATGTCTTTCTATTGCAGGAACTATATGAGGCTGATATGAAACTTGAGGTGGAGAGT